CCAGCAGCACCAAGAGCTTCATGCAGGTGGCTGGGGTTTGGGGAGCGGAGGGGAAGGTGAGAGGTGGAAAACCAAACCCCCACAGCTCTGGAGGGAGGATTTTGGGGGGAGAAATGAGTAGGGGGGGCGAGCTCGGCCGCACTGCTCCTGCTTGTGTGTGTCTGCTTGCGGGATGTGATCCTATTCAGGACTGCAGACAGGCACCGCTGGTCAGCGCGAACAAAAGCCTGACGGGTGAGTAATAAGCTCTGTCAAAACAGTTGCTCGCTGGCGAGAACTCGGGGGCAGACAGCTCCCGGGATGCCCCGCAGCCGGGTCAGCCCCCCAGGGTCCGCCCCAACCCCACTGCCGAGCCGGGGGTCGGGGTGGGAAGGCAGGAGGGAGCGGGGATCCCCCACCTTTGGGGTGCCAGGAGATCGGATACCGAGGAGGCTGGGGGTCAACGGGGGGGGGGCTCCCCATGCTGCCAGCTTTCCTCCTGCCCCATGAATTAAACATGCCGGGGAGGTGGGATCCTACAGTGGGGACCCCAAGCGACCAGCCTGGCCCTTGTGGTGTGCAGGGTGGTTGAGGGACATCATGGGATGTGGGAGATCCCAAGGGACCAGCCCTGCCCTTGGTGTGCACAGGTGTGGGGTGATTAAGGGCCATCAAGGGCCATCATGGGACACAGGGGATCCTACAGTGGGGACCCCAAGCGACCAGCCTGGCCCTTGTGGTGTGCAGGGTGGTTGAGGGACATCATGGGATGTGGGAGATCCCAAGGGACCAGCCCTGCCCTTGGTGTGCACAGGTGTGGGGTGATTAAGGGCCATCAAGGGCCATCATGGGACACAGGGGATCCTACAGTGGGGACCCCAAGCGACCAGCCTGGCCCTTGTGGTGTGCAGGGTGGTTGAGGGACATCATGGGATGTGGGAGATCCCAAGGGACCAGCCCTGCCCTTGGTGTGTGCAGGTGTGGGGTGATTAAGGGCCATCAAGGGCCATCATGGGACATGGGAGACCCCACAGTGGGGACCCCAAGCGACCAGCCTGGCCCTTGTGGTGTGCAGGGTGGTTGAGGGACATCATGGGATGTGGGAGATCCCAAGGGACCAGCCCTGCCCTTGGTGTGCACAGGTGTGGGGTGATTAAGGGCCATCAAGGGCCATCATGGGACATGGGAGACCCCACAGTGGGGACCCCAAGCGACCAGCCTGGCCCTTGTGGTGTGCAGGGTGGTTGAGGGACATCAGAGGGACATCATGGGATGTGGGAGATCCCAAGGGACCAGCCCTGCCCTTGGTGTGCGCAGGTGTGGGGTGATCAGGGGACATCAGAAGGGCATGGGGGACCCCACAAGGAACCCCAAGGGACCAGCGCTGCCTTTGGGTGCACACTGGTGCTGGTGGCATGTTCTTCCCTGGGGGCCCCACACCAGCCAGCTCTTCTGCTTCGTTAACTTGTTAATGAACTACTGCGTGGCACCCATGGGCTGCCCCTCTCCCTGGGCATGGGGTGGGGGATATCCAAGGTTGTGGGGGGGGGACAGTACTCACCAGCTTCTGCATGTTGGCGGCGGGGGGCTGCACTTTGCTCCTCAGCTTGTTGTGCAACGAGAGCACCAGGAAGGTCTCCTTCAGGCTGAGGGCTGGGGGGGGACACACACACATGAGAGCAGGGGCTGGGGATGTGGCCAAGGGGTCTGTGGGGTGCAAATGCCTTCCCCATATCCCCATCTGGGCCTCATGCCCCCCCGAAGGGTCCGGCCGCAGCCGGGGATATGGGGAAGGCACCCGGGTCTCCATGGAGACTCGAGGGGAGAAGAAAGCGCTTTTGGGCTGGGAGCACAAAAGGGACAGGGG